CTCTGTTCTGCTTTCTGCATTTCAAAGAAGGGAACTGATACTGTGCAAAGGTTTCTGTAACATATTTGCTTCATGACTGATGAAATTCCCTTTCCAGTAGATTTTTCATTTCTTTTGGCCTTTGGCATAAGTAAATGTCAGCTTCTTAAAAATCAACAGAGAAGAGCAAACAGTAGGGTCTCTGTGATTTTTCTTGGGATTTGAGAAATCTCCCCTCCCTGGCTTCTGACTGGATGGTGTCTGCACATTGCTGCTTATGGAACAGGGAAGGATGAGGTCCACCCAGACATGCTGTCTCATTTTTATATTTGCTGAGATCTTGGGAAACTCTCCTTTCATCAGGTATGTTGCAAACTTTAGGACTGTCTGCAGAGTGTGAGGGTCAGTATGTTAAAAGGTCAGTGTATGTCACTGTTGGACTGGCCATGGGTTTAAGGAGGAAAAACACAGAATTGGGTTTTGAGTTTCAGTTCTGCCTTTTTTTTTTCTTGGTGTGTGAATTCTCTTCTATAGGCCTCAGTTTCCTCTTCTCTTAAAACAGAAGACATTAATCTAGAGCCTAATTTTATCCCATGGCACATAGCAAAGATTACTGTAGAGAGTAGACTTGGCCACTCTCAATAAATGGTGGTACTCTTCAGCTCTTCAGGGGACCCTGCCTGGTAGCAGCTACCTGCATTAATATGCCATGATAGGCTTTTTGTCTAGTGCTTTTAAGTCATGAGGCCTTGGGAAAGTTGTTTTACTTACTATTCTAGGCTTTCCTATCTGCTGAGTAGGTATATAAACTAGTCATAATAATTTTTTGTAGTTCCAAATTTGGGGGCTTTTGTAAAGCAATTTGGTCCACAAAATGTACACTATACGACACAAGCCAGTGGAGTCTGGGAGAGTGCCTTGTGAAAACACATCAGTATTTCAAAATGGGATAAATAGCTTAGTATCAATTCACGTCCAATTTTGCTACCAAATGAGCTTGCTACAAAAATGTTAGCTTTCAGAAACTTTTGAAATGTCAGAGAGGCACATAAGGAAATTGTAGGCCAGAGTAGAAATTAGTAGAAAGCTAGGCTTATCTGTAGGAACTCTGGAGGCAAAGGCAGGTAGGAGGATCTCAAGTTCTAGGTTAGTCTGGGACCTTAACTTAAACAGACTCTGACTTGGGGCTGAGGATTTCCATGTACTGAAGAGGGGAGGGAGGGAGGTAGGGAGGGAAAAAGAGAGGGCAGGGGTAGAGAAAGACACACACACACACACACACACACAGACAGAGACAGAAAGACAGAAAGACAGAGACAGAAAGAGAGAGGAGGGAAGGAGAGAGACAGACAGAGACACAAAGAGAGGAGGGAGAGGAGGGAAGAAGTGGAAGAAGAAGATTGAGAAGGAGGCACAGGAGGAGAAGAGAGGAACTGGATAGGTATTTAATGCTTCTTATGTTCCAGCTTATTGGCTAGAGTTCTAAGAACAAGTTTGCTCATTTAGTTGGCCCAATATGTCTTTGAGTTGGATGATATTATTATCATACCCATTTTACAGATGAGCAAAAAAAAAAAAAAGAAAAGAAAAAAGAAAAAAAAAATATTGGGTGAGTTGCAGAACTTGCCCAGAGTCCCAAATGTAAAGAGCAAAGTGCAGATTCCAACCCAGTCAGGATTTGGAATTTGTGCTGGTTTCCACTTTACCTACCTAATCTAAGGGACTCAAATGGGGTTTCAGAAGCCTACAAGAGAGGCAGTGAGGTGGCTCAGTGGGTAAAGATGCTGGCTGTGAAGGTTGACAACCAGAGTCCCATCCCCGGGATCCATGTGCTAGAAGGACAGAATAAACTCTCCCAAGTTATGTAACTTCAAGAAATGCCTACAGGGGCCAAGTAGGTCACTGTGAGAAAGTAAAGGTGGCTGGGAGGATACAGTGAGCTCATGCCCCGTCCACAAGGAGCAGCCTTCTCCGTCCCAGCTGACACTTGTCATGATGGAAAGAGGATCTAAATTGTTCTGTTTTTTCCCAGAGAAGCCAGAAATCCAGGGTTTTATGGGAAATCTCCTGAGTTTTAAGTGTTGGCAACTAATTAAAAAATGTTAAAAAAAATTCTGTGGGTCAAATAAAATCTGTCTGTAGTCTGGATCCAGCCGGCCGTGCCAGTCTGTAAACTCTGCAATGAGGAGATGGATGTGAAACTGAAAAATGCGTTCTAGAAACAGGTCTCTTTTTAGGGCTTAAGTTTTTCCCCTCCTTAACTGTGGTCTATTTTTTTTTTTTAACCGCTGTTTCTGGCCTGGTGGAGATGAAAAGTTGGAATTAAAAAGAGACTTCAGTTAACTTCAATGCTTCATTCCTTTGGCAGGCTGGATAAATGAGCAGCCTAGGTGTGCTGGACCAGCTAAGCCTCAGAATTCCTGCCACACCCACGGGCCCCTTCTAAGGAGTTTCTATCCCCAGACCCTAGTCGAGGGAAATAGCAGTTTCTTATGAATAGGTGGCTATGTTTGGTACCACGTGATTCTGCTTCCCCCTCCCCCTCCCCCAGCCAAGAGCTGATTGAGCAAGGAGTGGGCACCTGATCCGTGAGCAGTCATTCTATAGGCTGGCAAGGAACCTATGATGGAACCAGGGGTGACAACTTTGCCCACCAAGTACAGTGGTAACTAAAATCGGACCAATGAGAATCTCTCTCTTGGGGAGTTTGAATACCAGCCCTCGAAAAGAGTGAGCGGTTTGACAACAGAGGCAGAAGCTGAGCCGAGAGAAAAGGCAGGTGGCAGAGTCTGCGAAGAAACAGAACGAAGGGAGGTTACCGAGCTTCAGTTCATGTGCCAGATACTTTATACATGTTGTTTTCTTTAAAGTTCTTAAAGAGGTATGAGATAGGTCTGGGATTGTTCTGAATAATTAAGACGTGTTTAGAAGTACTGGGGTTCCAGCTCAGGCTTGTGTGATGGTAAAAATCAGAGAACATGTTCTATCTGGGTATGGTGGCTCACGCTTGCAATCCCAGCAGCATGCAGGGTACTGAGGGATACTGAGGCAGGAGGATCATCATGAATTGGAGGTCAGCCTGGGCTACATAGCAAGACTTAGTGTTAAAACCCAAACAAAACACACTCCCACCCCCAATCAGAGAAACAGTTCTTGAGTGCAAGGGATTGGAAATCATGGGTTAAACTGTGTATTTCTTGGCCTCAGCTCTTATTTCCTATGTCTTACTCATGAAAACTGAGCCCCCTTGGCAACTGAGTGTGCATTTTTCTGCTCGTCCTATGGGAAAACTGATGTATAGACTCCCCACCATACATTTATTTTGAGAAATGCAGTTTTCAGGGATATAGCAGTGTATACTGTGTTGTGGTCATCTTCAGAAAGAAGGTCAATGTCAATAAACATCATCAAAGTGCAATTTAAAAACATTTATAAAGGAGGCAGATTCTTCTTCTTTGCTCATCAAGGAACTGTAACGCCATGCCATGGTCATTTGAAAGCTGAGGACAGGAGCGAGATGGTTGCTCTGCTGCTATGTAGAGTAAGGTATCTGTTATTCAGGGCGCAGAGCTCCCAATGAGCATATGGTCTGTGAGATTTTACATGAGAAGCACAAACTGCTGGAACCTAGTGAACTGGCAGCAAAGACCCTGAGAGAAAATGACCAAATGCAGACAGACATACTGTAAACCATGGGACTTCTAATGTAAACCTTCCTGCTAGGCTTCTCAGCTCTAGAAAAGCTGTATAAGAATCCCATCAGTGTCTTTATTTACAGCACATGTAAAAATGTGGAACCGGAATGAGCCCCAGCAAGAGAATCCCTTCTAGAACTAGCCCCTGGCTCTGGAAACTGGTATTCGCCTGTTTTGTATTCTTGGGCCTTTAGAAAGTCAGCCTTGAGAAGACAAGTCGTAGTGTGAAGGTTGTGTGGAGATTATCAGGTCGGAAATTATTTTGTGGTACAAATGCTTAGTGGTATCGGGCACTTATTCCTACAAGGGAGCTGTATGGTCCAAGGGGTAGCACAGGTCAAATGTTTTGGCCAAGTCCCGCCTCAGCCGGGCTTTCCTTCCCACTTGGCAACTTTTCTTTCTGTGACTTGTTCCTGTGGACACTTTATCTATGCTTATGTCCTCACTTAGGCTAAGGTCACACTATTCTCCTCTCTCCTGGCCAGAAAGACTTCCTGTCTTACAGGTATCGGATTTTGTATATGTTGATGTCTTAATTATGAGTGACTCCCTGAAGCAGGTTCTTGGGCAAGTTCCCATCCTCCAGGAATATTGCAGCACTGTGTCCTGCCCCCCCCACCCCCTTTGCAAGGAGAAAGCCTGAGGACTATGTAGTAAATGATTTGTAAAAAGGAGACAAATGTGTTGTGTTGAAATGATTGTTTTTTTCTTCTAAAATTATTTCCTTCTCTTGTGGTGTGTTAAAGAAAGCCCTTTCTCTTTAGGAAATGATAATTTGGGGTTGTTTTGTTTCTTAATGCCTTTCCTTGGAAAAAGAAAAATCAAGTAACCCAGTGTCAGTCCCCCACTTTTGGGGCTTTGCAATTGCTATAAATAGTCCGGGAGCCTGGTCTCATTTGTAGAGTCCTGTGAGTACCTCTAGATACCTCCTGATGCCACTTACATCGTAAGTGCTTATAAATTACCTGCTTCATAATCTGCAGCAGAATCTCTCCAAGGATTGACATCAAGCTTACAGCTCTGGAGTTTACAGTACACTGCTATGTAGTTTCCTTATTTAAGAAAATTGGGACACTGCCCATTTGCAGTCCTCTTGTATTCCCCTGTTCTCTCTGATTCCATAGATCCTTCAGGACGGCACCTAATGTAAGGCAGTTTCGTTTGCTCTTCTTCTAATATTCTTTTCACTATAGAGTTGGACATGCATATACATGTTGTTTGGGGGAATTTGCAGCACATCCAATGAAAGCGTGATTCCCAACTAACAGTCAAATCCTTTTCTTTGGAGCTACCCAGAACACACCTACCCTCTCTTCCATATGACAGCCCTTCAGAGACTCAAAGGCAGTGTGTGACTCTCCTGTGAGCTAAGAGCATTGGCTGAGTCAGACAGACCCGAGTGACAAGCCCAGCTTCACTCCCTCTCAGCTGTAAGAGCCAAGGTAAGTAACTGCATTCTAATTTCTCTCTACTTTAGTTTTTTAGCTGATTTATAAAATGGGGGCAACTCCTCCAATTTATTGGTATTTTGTGCAATAAAATAATATAGTGTGTGTAAAATGCTTAGCACAGTGTCTGGTATAGTAAGAACTTAGTAAATGCTAGCCAGTCTCCACTTCCTCTATAGAGAACCGGGTGGGCATTTCAAGTATCAAACATGATAGACAGCCAAGTGTGTGTGTGTGTGTGTGTGTGTGTGTGTGTGTGTGTGTGTATGCGCGCGTGTGAAAATTACATGTGTTTCTCTGCTGAATGATGGGGGAAGGTAGGGGACCCCGGACTAGAGCTCGATTTAAGCTTTTCTGTTTTCAGGTAACTGAGTATGTGTTCACCAGGGCTGGGGGATATATTGTTGGGAATCTAGAGGCAGGCTTATTTTCAATAGCTAGAAAGCTATTTGTTGACTATTGAACAGTCTCTTTTTTATTCTTATTTTCCTAAGCAGCTAGCCTTGCAATCCCCCAAACTCAATTACCTCTTGCAAGGCAGCAGGATCTCGACATCTAGCTGTATTGATCAGTAGAGACTGGGTGGGTACAAGAGGGATCTGAGAGATGCTAAGCAGAAATTTGTGGACTTAGCCTGCTTTAGGAGGCCTTCATTTTCTGTGGTCCTAGAGACTCTTTACTTTAATAAAACAGAAGTCTATGCCCAAATGGGCTGAGCATGCAAGAGCCCTCTCCCAGTAGCCTTCTTAGAAGCAAGCTGATGAAAATTGTCACAGTGGACGAACCTGAAACCCTGGAGTGGCCAGCATGTTTTTTTTTTTTTTTTTTTTTTAACTGTAGCTTTTTCGCACACACTGGGTTTTTGCAAGCAATTGCATGATATAAACTCTGAATGCCGTTGCAAGTAGAAAAAGTTTGGAAGGAGACACACCCAACTATGAGCAGAGCGAGCAGTGGGACTTGTGGGGAAGCAGGGTGGGGAAGTAGGGTGGGGTAGTCTCAGGACTCTATCTGGTCTGAGATTTCAAGGTTTTAAGCCTAGGACTAAATTCCTAGATTACGTGTATATTAAACCCAAACAAAAGTTAGAAGGAATCATCTTAATATAAACCAAGAAAAACTGAATAATAGCAAGGCACCCAAGACATGACTTTAGAGGTCACATCAGAAGGAAAGGCCCAAGTGATGTAACTCTTAAGCTTTTGGGGGGAGAAAGGTTGATTGTGGAGGAATTTGGGGGGTCCCTAGGGAGTGCATGCAGAGGACTAGAAAGGGCTAGACATAGAGCCATAGGGAGCCAACATGTTTATAAACTAACTTTTGTTTATTTTCTTTGTGAATAAGTATAATGAGATGACTTTAGTCAGATGAGAAAATAAAGATATGGAAAATGAAAATAAAAATGTCATGTAATTCTGCCATTCAAGTATGGTTATTGTTAATATTTAGGTATGCTCTTCTAGACTTTACCTTTCTGGGGAAATGTAATTATATTATCATTTCACCAAGGCTTAGTAAAATATGCACATTTAAAACAATTGTGATTTTGTTCTTTTGAGACAACCTCAATTTAGAGGTGGCCTCCAACTGTCAGTCCTCCTCACTCAGATTTCTGAATTCTGGGATTACATGTGTGTACACACACAGTAGAAACACATGCATTTACTTTATTGTAAAAGAATCTTGTAATTAAGCCCACACTAGATTTTAATTCTTAGTAGATAACATTAGGGGCTACTAAATTGTACCTTGACTCATTTAACCGTTAAGCAGTTGTGTTCTAGCATCATGTATTCAGGGCATTTCCAGCTTTTGTTTTCATAGGTAACTGAGTTCTGTAGCTGGGTGATGTTGGGAAAGTTAGTTAAGGTCTCTGTGCTTTTGGGTTCTCATCTGGATGATGAAGGTGATAGTAACACCTCACCCGGATGCTTTATTAGAAGAGATCACATAAGTAAGTAAAGAATTTAGCATAGTACATGGCACAATAATAGTTTTAATCATTAGGTACAATAATAATATTAACAGCAGTTATTATGAAGCCATTATTAAAATAACTGGGTTTCCTTTAAATTTTGTTTATTATATCATCATCATCATCATCATCATTATTGCAGTGTGTGCACGTGTGTGTGGTGTGAGTGCAGGCATGTATGCTTCTTCTATGGAGCACACCTGGATGTCTGAGGATAACATTTGAAGTTGATTCTCTCCATCTCGGGTTCTGAGCATTAGGCTCAGCCCATCAGCCTTGTATCCTAAATGTCTTTTCTTAACTTACTGAGCATTCTTTCCAACCTTAAAATGGGTTTTCTATGACTGTTTTTTTTTTTTCATTCAGGGGAGACTGATTGGAAAGTTTCGTTTTGAGTAGTGTGAGTAGTGAACTTGAGTCAGGCAGAGCTGTGCTATTTTATTTTATTTTTTTCCCGTGTCACATACTGTGTTAATTAGGTTTCCTGTCACTGAAGACATTCTTGATAGAAGCAACTTCAGAGGATTCACAGTTTCAGGGGTCCAAATGTCAGCATATGGAAGGCATGGTGGTTGGGCATCACTGGTCCACAGCATGAAAAGGTGACAGTACCTCCTATCTGAATGCCCCAGGAAATAGAGAGCAAGACTGGAAAAGAGGGCAGAGCTCATTTCCAAAGCCCACCATCAAAGTCTTATGTCTACCAGTTAGGGTCCAATGTCCCAGATGTTCAATAATCTTCCAACACAGTCCCGCCAGCTCAGGTCTTCAAATGCACGAACATATGTCAGGGAGCCCATCACATTTAAACCATAACACCTGTTGAAGCTCAACTTCCTTATCAGTAAACTGGGAATTACAAGGGTCTAGCTCAAAGGGTAGTTGTACAGAGCAAAAAAGAAAACTCTTGAAGCCCTTAGCACAATTCTTGACATATGAGAATAGCATTCAAGGCCAGCCAGGTATTACTGTGACTGCTACCATTACCACTGCTACTACTGCAATTTAAACACTTGTGCTGAGAAAAGTTCCTTCCTTGGTGGGGTGGGCACCTGGCAGTGAGTAGAGCATTTTGAGTGTTTCTAATCATGGATTTAAACCGAAAATGATTTCAGAAGTGAAGTGGTCAGGGCTTAAACTCAGTGTTTGCTTTTAGGATTAATTCTGTGAACCCCCCCCCAAGCCTATTTCTCTATTTGTAAAATGACAATTAAAGCCCAATATGCCCTAGTGATGGAGACGGAGAGAAATCTGGTGGCCACTGTCCATTCTGTAGATCTAAGATTCAGCAGAAAGTTCCATAGGTTTTAAACAGCTGGCAAGAATGTCAGACTTAAGTATACCCTGCGAGGACCTACCTTTTTATAAATTTTATTATTTTATTTTATATAACAAAGTCCAATTAAATGAAAACAAACATTTATACACAATATTTGGGAATTTGGGTGTCGTTCTTTCCAAACTACTTCCTGCTGGTAAGGGACGCTGTCATGGGGGATTCGAAGAAGATTCAGAAATCCTGGCTGTAGTCTGTAAGGCTGCTTTGTCCGGCTGTTTTGAATGTAGAATCACCTGGTACTCTGTTTCAGGTGGTCTGGATTGATCAAACCACATTAGTCTGGAAGGAATCCACATCTTTTCATTTTCTGTGGAAACAAAAATAGAAATCCTTTTCCCCAGTAACTTGTCCTTCAACTTAAATTTTGGAGTCAAAGCATTTTTTTTTAAATTTATTATTTTACATGTCGATCTCAGTTCCCTCTCCTTCCCTCCCTCCCGCCCTCCCTCCATCCCTTCCTCCCTCCTTCCCTCCCTATTACCCTCTCTGCCCTCTCACATGCATGCTAACCACCCTCCCCTCCCATCCCCCCACCCCAATTCCATATGTAGGGGAATGCCATCCAGTTGGGGTCATGTAGATCTGACAGGTCATGTGAAGTAGGGACTAGGGCTTCTCTCCTGTCTCTAGATTAAGGCAGTTATCCCTCCATGGGGGATATGTTCGCAAAGTCCTTTTGTGCACCAGGGATACATCCTGGCTCCACTGTCTGAGGTCTCTTAGACTGCTCAGTCCTTCTGGCTGAGACCCATATTCAGGGGGGCCTGAGTCAGTTCCATGCTGGCTTCCCAGCTATCAGTCTAGTGGCCATTAGCTCCTCCTTGTTCAGGTAAGCTGTCTGAATGTGTTTCTGCTGGATGGTCTTGTGCAAGGACCCATCTTATATAAACAAAAATGAAGCCTGCTTCGTAGAAGGAGGATACAAGGTCAGAGAGGAGGTACAGAAAAGTAACCAGAGTGCCCCCTCTGATTTTTTCAGTACTGAGGATGCAACCTAGGGCCATACACATGCTACCCAAGTACTCTACTACCAGGACACACCTCCAGGCCCACTCCAGTCTTTTAGATTAGTACTCCAGTCTTTTAGATTAGTGCTACTTAAGCATCCATTTAGTCTGGAAGAAGAATTGACCATTACACTTGAGACCGTTGGGTAAAGTTCAGGGGACTTGGGTTTACGGACTCATAATTTGTTAGCAGAGTCATTTAAAATCATCAACCAACAGCGACTCATAATAAGCAGCAGACCATAGTGAGACTTTGGGCTACATACTAGATACATATTACATTACGGAGGCTTCCCACCAACATGCAGAAGGTAGGTACTGCTTTAAAAATTCTCATGACTGTGAGTCACTGTTAAAGTCTTCACTTCCCAGCCCCACACCCAGCTTCTTCCCATCCTCATTTTCCTACCCTTGAGTTTCACTGATGCTGCTTCTCTGGACCCGCAGTCTTGGTCCTTACCTCTAACACTGAGCCAGTACTTCTTGGTCTGGCCAGCTGCATTGTCTAGGACCCAGAGTAACTGTGCACACCCAGTCTCAGAGAGCATACATGTTCCATTTCCTGAGTAAGGACACTTGCTGGTTCATTTCTTTAATTGTGACAATCTATTCTCTTTGGGCTAGCCAGAGATGGCTGCAGGGATGTGCAGTAGAGGTGGTGGGATTCCTGGAAGCAAGGGGAAAAGGGGTAGGATTGCAGAGGCCCAGAGCTACAGCAGAGCTTATGGAGGGCTGACAAGTGAAAGGTGGCCAGAGGCAAATGTCAGAGCCTATATAGAGGCAGGAATCTGGGACCAGAGAGCCAGAACATGCGCTAGCAAGTCAAGAGCAGTGGAGTTGGTGGGCGGGCCGGCAGGCTGGCAGGCGGGCAAGAGGGGGTGTGGCAGGGGATAGCTAAGGGAGATTGCTGAGAACAGCTGCCGGTATTGGGCCTTGCTGTAATGAATTGGCACGGGGTATAAGTCAATTGGTCACACCACAAAAGCTGCAGTGCAAAGGACACTATCACTCTTCTCTGTCACTGGTAAGGTAAGATCTTTCTGAGTTGTGCCTAGTGAAAAATTGTGGTATGGACAGGGATTATTTGATGATGGAAGATGGAGTTGGAGGATCTTTTTGCTCATGTTTCCCATGGCATAAATTAAGATTAAGGTAACTGAGATATCAGCAGGACTCTCGTATTTCTTTGACACCTTACCTTGGGGTTATCTAGTCAATGGGGTTGAGGACGAGAAGAAGAGGATCACTACTGCCTATTAGTGAGGAATAGGGGGCTATAGAATTGGATGGGCCTGAGACTCTCCCAAACCACACACAAATGATCAAGTTTCTGTGTGTCTTCATTGTCCCATCTGTAAGAAGGAGGAAGGCCAAAAATCTTGGAGGGTTACTGTGTGGATCGAATGATGTGAGACAGGTAAAGTGCCTAGAAGATCTACCAGCCAGTGCATGCTCAAGTACTGCTTGCTGTTGGTATTTCTGCTGTCTGTGTTCCAATTGTGATGGAGGCACAAAACTATGGATTGATGATTTCTTTGACATTGCCTCAAAGTATCCAGTCTTCTTTTTAGGGCATGATCAGGCTATGGGTTTCTGTTACTCTTCTGTGATTGCCTGCATGGGTCTACAACTTGTGTGTCAAAGTACCACTTCTGTGGCTGCTTATGGAAGCAGGTCAGAGAGGTGAGGTTATGGGAGTGACCAGTCCCCTCTCAGCTAAACAGGCAAACTTGAAGTTTCTGCTCATTGACTAAGACTAAGCTGCGATTGATTTCTAGTCTAGGATGTCAGACAAGCAGCTGCATACACTCTCAGTGAGACCAAAGACCATGCAACCTCAAGGAAAGGGTAAAACCACACTGGTTTTATTTTAGCTACAACTCTTGCTAATCTTAGAAAGCTGGTACAATGGGAATAATAATACTATTTAAATCCCAAGTAGAATCAGACTCGCAAAGTCGTGCATATCAGACAGTTTAAAGTTCTTTACAGTTAAAGTGCAGTGGCATTCATGCATCTACTAAGTAACCAATACTGTAGTAGTAGCTGTCATTAATAGCAATAATGATGATAATATTAAAACAAGAGTTTACTTTGTGGAATGCCATTTTTAGTCATTCATCAGATAAATGTGCTACTTTTCCTGAGAAAAGGGATATCATAGTAGTAAAATCTGGGGTAAACTGTTGGGATTCAATGAACATTAAGAAGTAATAATTATCATGGAGTAAAGAGCTCCCTGATGGTACCTGGGTTGACTTTTTGACTTCTGTAGTGGAAAAGCATAGCCAGAGAGCCTGAACTTCTTGTACTTGGCCAGAAGGTGGTGCTGCTGACTCATTTGAGACAGGGCTTCCCAGGCTCTGGAGCTTGCTATTGGAGTTTATAAACGTGGAGGCTGTGGTGTGTACCTGGGTGGGTTGGTTTAAAAAGCACAGAGTTTGAAGGAGAAGTTGTTCTTGCTCTGGGCTATTTCCTATATGCTTTCTTCAAACTGATAGACCAGGTTTCAAAGCCACGTACATGACAACTCATAAAAGCAGGTCTCTATGAATTGTTGTAATATATTTCTGAAATTGGCTTTTGACTTTAAACTTCTTTCTCTTTTACAGGTTTCCTTGATTTGTGGGCCCTGATGTCAACACATTAGAGTCTCCATCCTCCCTGCCCTATAGCCATGGCAGACATGTCAATACCATTGCATTCATTACGATTCAACAATATGATGAGGGAGGAAAATAGTGACCCCCAAAACAGGGGGGCAACTTTCCCTAGACCAATGGCAGAGACAAGAGCAGAGGTTCAAATCCTACATTCTCAGTTGCAGTTGCCTATAGTCTCAACTTCAGCCTCAGATCTCGGAGGGACAGCTACACAATTGATGACATCCACTGCCTTTGACAGTCTACCCTCCACACCTGTCATGGGAGCACCACACTCTGGGACATTGTCCCCACAGCTGATGTCAGCTTCAGACTCCGGGACCCTGTCTCCACTGCTAATGACAGCCTCAGATTCAGGAACATTGTCCCCACTTCTAATGCCAGTCTCAGACTCTGGGGCACTGTCCCCACTGTTGATGCCGACCTCAGATTCTGGAACATTGTCCCCATTGTTGTCTACTTCAGACTATGGGTTAATGTCTCCAGGGATGATGACAATTCCTGACTTTGGAACAATGTCCACAGCACTAATGGCAGCATCAGATTCTGCAGAGATATCACCATTGGCAATGCCAGTTCCGTCCTCTGGAGTGATATCTGCACCTGTAATGAGTACTTCGTCCTCTGAGGCATCGTTAATGCTAGGATCAGATCCTGGTGAGATATCCCCACTCCTGATTCCAGATATGAACCCTGGAGTGGCATCTACACCACCAATGACAGCTCCAGGCTCTGAAGCAATGTCCCCATTGCAAATTACTGATGAGGACACAGAAGCAATGTCCAAAGTGCTAATGACTGCTCTAGCTTCTGGGGAGATATCATCGCTGCTAATGTCAGGCACAGACTCTGAAGTGATATCCTCTCTGATCATGTCAGCTCTAGCTTCTGGAGAACCAACAACTCAGCCAACAAACCCTCAGGAATCCGAGGGAATTCCCACAGTGCTCATGTCAGGTTCAGACTCTGGAGTCATGTCTTCACTGCCTATGCCAGAACCAATTTCTGGTTCTGGAGCAATGTCTACATCACTGCTGTCAATCCCAGATACTGGAGAAACAGCCACATTACCAAAGCCAGTCCCAGATGCTGAGGCAATGTCCCCACTGCTAATGACTGCTCTCACCTCCACAGTGATGCCTACTCAGTTGATGCCAGCACCTGGTTCTGGAGTGATGTCCCCAGACATAACACAAAATATCAACTCTGAGATCATGTCTGTTCCACCAATAAGAGTCCCAGCCACTGGATTGATGTCCACACTACCAGTGAGAGCTTCTGATACAGGGGCGATGCCCATGCAGTTAACGAGAGTCCCTGCATCAGGAAATACGTCCACATCACAAAAGACAATTCCAGTCTCTGGATCAATGACAACTCCACTGATGGCTGCCACAAGCCCTGGAGCAATGTTCACAGAACAAATGTCAACCACAGCCTCTGGTGTGATGTCTACACATTTAACAATGGCCAAAACACCAGGAATAATGCCCATAGGCTTTACGAAGTCCACAGCAAATGGAGCAGTTTCTGCACAGCGAGTAAGAGGTTCATCTTCTGGACTGATGTCCACCCAGTCAGGTATAGCTACAGCTTCTGAAATGTCTGTGTCACAATCAACCTCTGGGTCAGTGTCCACACAGAAAATTCGAGCTCCTGTCACTGGACCAATGTCCACATCACAAATAAGAACCACAGCCTCAGGACTGACATCTACACCACAAATGAGAGCCACAGCCTCAGGAGCAATGTCTACTCCACTAATGACAGCCAAAACCTCTGGATCATCATCTCCACTGCTAATGAGAGACACAGCTTCAGGAGTGATATCCATGCCACAGATGAGAGCTCCAGGCCCCGGAGCCTTGTCCAAGCCACTAATGACATCCAAAGCTTCTGGAATGTTCATGCAGCAAATGACAACTGCAGCTTCTGGAGCAATGCCCACATCACTAATGAGAGACACAGCTACTGGAGTTCTGTCCATGCCACAGATGACAGACCCAGCCTCAGGAGGCATGTCCACACCACTAATGAGAGCCACGGCTTCTGGAGTGATGTCTACATCACAGATAACAACCACCACCTCTGGAGGCATGTCTAAGCCTCTAGCAAGAGTCCCTGGTCCTGGGGCAACATCCATATCACTAATGAGAGCCACAGCCTCTGACAAGATGCCTGGTCAGGCAATAAGCATTCAAGATTCTGGAGGGGTATCTACACCACTCATGAGACCTGTTGCTTTGGGAGGGATGCAGATGAGATCCCAGGCCTCAGCAACTATGTCTACACCCCTAATGAGGGCCTCAGACTCATCAGAGATGTCTACATTGCTCTCAAAAGCCTCATCCTGTGGAGAGAAGCCTCTACTACTAATGAGACCTCCAGCTTCTGGAGAGATAGCTCCATCCCCAAGAGCCCCAGTTTATGGTACAATATCTGCTCCACCCATGACAGCTCCAGCCTCGAGTATGATGTCCATGCCACCTATGAAGGTTTCAGTCCCTGTATCAGAGTCCACACCACTCTTGAGACCCACAGATTCTGGAATGATGTCTGTGCCACTGATGAGAACCCCAGCTTCCAGAGCAAAGTCCATACCTCAAATGATGGCCACAGCTTGTGGAGACATATGCCCACTCCCAGTGCAAGCTCCAGCCAGTGCAGCATTATCTACACCACCAGTCAGAGCACCAGCCTCTTCAACCATATCTACAACACTTAGGAGACCCTCGTCTGGAGCTATGGCCACAGAGATAGCGAGAGCTCCAGGCCCTGGAATTATGTCCACTACACAGCTGGCAGCTATGGCGTCTGGAGAGATGTCTAAGCCACTAATGAGGGCTTCAGCTCCTGGAACCATGCCCACACCTTTGATGTCACCCATGACTTCTGGAGAGATGTCTATGCCACTAATGAAAACCATGCCTTCTGGGACAATGTCAACCCTACAAACCAAACTTGTGAGTGCTAGAGCTACATCCTTGCCGCAGCCAACAAATACAGCTTCTGGGGGAATGGCTAATCCCCCACTGAGAGCCTCAGCCTCTGGAGTAGTATCTACACCTCTTATGAGAACCTCAGCTCCAGGAATGATGTCTATGCCACTACCGAGGGCCACAGCCTCAGGAGGGATAACCATGCCACACATGGCAGCTCCAACCTCTGGAGAGATGTCTACACCACTAATGAGTACCCCAGCACCTGGAAAAATGTCCACATCACAACCAGCCTTTGGAATGACACCCATTGTGAATATCAAAGCCACAGACTCAGGAGAGGCATCTACCTCTCACTTCAGAGCCACAGCCCCTGGATCAAAGAGCACACCACATGGGACTGCCACAAACCCTGAGATGAAGAACCCACCACCAAAAGAAGTGCCATCCCTTGGTATGTTGACCCCAGCACTCTGTTACCTCTTAGAGGAGCAAGAAGCAGCCCGAGGTTCATCCTCTGTGGAAGAAGATGCAGAGGAGATTGATGAGGAGAAGCAAATGAAGGGGTTTTTAAATGATTCTGAGAAAATGGCATTTCTGGTGTCTCTTCATCTGGGGGCAGCAGAGAGATGGTCTATCTTGCAGATGGAGGTCGGAAACCCCCTCTCCGGTGAAAACAAGTCTTTCTTGAGAAGATCACAGGGCTTATATGACTCCCTGTCTGAGATAGACATCCTAAGTGCTGTTCTTTGCCATCCCAAGCAGGGCCAGAAGTCAGTCAGACAGTATGCCACTGACTTCCTGCTGCTGGCCCGACATTTGTCTTGGTCTGATGCCATTCTACGGACCAGGTTTCTGGAAGGACTCTCGGAAGCTGTTACCACCAAAATGGGTCGTATCTTCCTGAAGGTGGCCGGCAGCCTGAAGGAACTGATAGATAGGTCTCTGTACACTGAGTGTCAGTTGGCTGAAGAGAAGGATTCCTCAGGCAACTCATGCCAAGTTGTGCCAACATCTTGTAAGCGGAACAATGAGGAGGCCATGGAGAGTGACCTGGGCTCTCAGCAGCAGACTGAGGAGGTAATCAGGGGGGGCTTTTGCTCATGGTTTCTGATTAGAAAACTGAGGAAATAGTGATGTTGGATTAACACCCATAGTCTTTCATGCTGAATTAAGAAAGAGCTGAGAAGGAAGTACTGAGTTCCTAGACAATAAGAGCTCAATGTAGAATTTTATCAGTGAGTATGGATATGAAGTTATTTTGGTTATATTAGCCATTTTCAGAAACAATGTTTGACCCAGGTTACTGAAGGCGTTGGATTATAAGGAAAATCAGTAGGCTCAATCGCAGCTCTCTGTCTATTGCAAGTAAAGTTCCAAGGGAGCGACTTCTTTTATGGACTGGGTTCTACTCATAGTCACATGTGTGTGGACTCAAGTCACCAGAGGATTTCATGAACTTAGCACTTGGCCACTCTTTTTACACATCTGTTAAATTATCCAGTTCTTAGACTTGTTGGCTTACTGAACTTAATCAGACAGAATGCCTTTGGTCATAGGAAGTGTGGTTCTTATTTATGTTGTTTTTTTCCTCCTTTCTCACAGCACCAGCATGTTCCCAAACGCTGTTACTACTTGAAAGAACATGGAGACCCCCAAGAAAGTCTTCATGACCACCTTCGACAGAGCGCACAGAAGGCCCCCACCAACAAGTAGTACTCCTTGAAATCTTCTGCGATTTCTGCCTTGGCTGCTAACCTGAGGACTGGTTCCTGGACCCATTCCATTCAAATATATCATAAACCTTGTTGCCTTCACCTTCCAGCCTTCCCCTTCAGGCACATCCCACTTTATCTCCTGTTTTTGGTTGCCTTGACATTCTCTTTCACCTATATGCCTGTGACCTGCCCTGACAATCAGTGTGGACTATAAGAATGTATGGTGTATGAGAGTCTGAGCTCCCATCATCATCACCATCAAGGCTTTTTCAAATTCTTGGTCCAGGGAGAAGTCTAGGCAGGAGAAATCATGTCCTACCTCAAAACACCTTAGAGTGTCTTGCCACATGTCACCAGGCAAACTTGAGGAAAACCTTGTCCTATTCCACCTGGCAGGGGAGCCTATAAAGAGAGAGATACCCACTCCTATACCATCTGTTCAAATCAGCAGATTCACCCTTATATGCCCCAACTCATAGTACCTAAATGGGTCTCCAGGGCCCTTGCCCTGTTTATAGTCTCCATCCTGAACCATTGTTTTGACCCATAGTATTAATAATAGTGATATTAATGGCTAACAAATGTTGGTAATGTGCCATGTGACTGGTACTGAGCTAAACCCTTGAAAAGCACCATCTCACTACAGTGTTATAGTACCTAACTTGTTCCTGTGTTGTTAGCTTCTGATCTCTTGCTTATGGCCCTTGTCCTTCAGTGTGGAATCTCTAGCTATGACCTCTGGGTGATCCCCTCAGTTGTCAATTGCCCTTGCTCCCCTTGGTTGTTGTGCTTTGTGGCCAGCATTCTCCTTAAGGGTCTCGGTGTCTAAACAGGTGTAGGTAGTTAGAACATAATATGAACAGTGTTTGCCTTCAGGTGGTGGGTTATATGTTTTTTTTTTAATTTTTGTCTTTGTACTGTTCTCTGTAATTTCCAGATTCACTACAGTAAGCATGTATTACGTTTGTAACCATAAATAAAGGCAATTTGTGAAAATGAATTAATTATGGACATTAGAATTTGATTTATGGTGTTCTTTAATTTTTTAATCTTTATTTTGTGTGTTTGTGTATGGAGGGGGAAAGTGATGCACAGTGTTATTCAGGGGCAAAAAGAGACTTTTTTGGGAGTTGATCTGTGGATTAGACTCAGGCTTGGGGATACATACTGGAAAACTATCTTTCAAACACTTGAGTTCTTTTAACATAATGTGTTGGTCACTGTTTAGGGGACAATTAAGACCTTTTCTCATATTAAAATTCCGCTCAAATTAAGGCAGGGCAGAAACAACAAGCAAGAACACATTGAAATAAGATATAAGCTGAGTTGAAGACAAGAAACAGGAAAATGGGAATTTTATACAGATAGGACCACTTTATTTGTTCAGTAATAATCACTGTAGTGTGATATTCAAAGATATTTTAATGACAGAAGAAATAATAAAATTTGAAACATTTTATAAAGCCACGTTGGTGACAGTTTGGAAGCAGCATGGAGGAAAGGGTCAGAGGCAGTTGAGTCCCCTGGTACAGTCTGGGAGACTTCTTGGCCACGATATCTAGTGGGGTGGAAGAAAAGCCAAGGACACCAAGGACAGAACCCAACCCTTCTCTGAGTCTGCTGCCCTGTTACCCTAAACATTGGATCTAATTCCAGGGAGAGGGAAAGTATTCTGAGGAAAAGCAAAGACTGGCAGACACTTTGGCAGCCCCACAGTCCCGTATGTGAGAATTTGGCTCTAGGTGTTGCCTCAGTAACTAGTGCTGTTGCCTCAGAAAAAAGGCACAGTAAGTTGGGTAACACACATTCTAGGCAGAGAGACAATTAGCCCCAGGGGACCCAGCTTTCACCCTCTTTTCTTTGCCCGTTGGCTCACATCTGGCTCAGTCTAGACCCAAGTGCAGTGTGGATATTCATGTTCAGTTGGGGTTGCTTTTATCTCAGAAAAGCAAGCAAAAATCTACTGAAAAAGAAATGTGTAATGCAGAAGTCACAACCCATGCCTGTAAAATGCATACAGGAAGGAAAATGTCTTCAAAATGAAACTCATTTTCTTATGGCCTCGATAATGGACAGCAATGGTAGTTCTTGAGTTCTCTCCCCCAGCCACTCATCTTCCCTTGGCTTTTTTCTTTTCACTAAAGATAAATGGAACCGATGAAGGCCAATCACACTCTTTCAAAGCCCAGTCCCTTGTCCACCCACCCTAGCATTTATATTTAGAAATGTTTCAAGAGCCACTCAGCAGCTTCACGGAGCCTGGCAATCCTATACCCATGTACTTGGGATCATTTTGTCAGTTGAAAAAAATGATGGTTCATATTTTTCTATTCCTCACTGACCTATGGATAAAAACAAGGCCCCACAAGCAAGGAGAACTTATATACCACCAACTCCTGTGTGTTATAGAACCTCTGTTCCGTGAGAATTTTCTGAAGTTCTTTGGGGGAGATCCCAGTAGAATTAGACTGCTTGTTGTGCTTTGACTGATACACTGCCTTGTGGAGTTCAGCTGGCTACATGATATGTAGGGCCACCACTTGACCCCACTCTAGCTGCAGAATGGAATACAGAGGCCAACTGTAGCCAGGGACTTGGATTCTGGAACACAACAATGAGCTTAAATAGTACTTGCCTCAGGTTACAATTTGGATCTGAAACGACCCTTAAATATAGGCTTCTATGTTGAAAACTTGGTCAGCAGCTGGTAGCACTATTTTGGGAGGCACTGGAAACTTTGGAGGTGTGGTTTTTGGAGAAAGTAGTGCATCATGAATAATAAAGTTCCAGAGACAGATATTGGGGTTCAAGGTGAAGATCAGTGAAGTTCTTACCTCTACCAATGCTCAGACTGAAAGGGGCGATTCTGTCCTCAGCGCGGTTGCAGATTGACTGACTCATCTCTTCTCCAGTCTTATAATTCCACTCTAGTGCTGGGATTAAAAGTGTGTACCACCACTACCTGGCCTCTATGGCTAACTAGTGTGGCTGCTGGGATTAAAGGTGTGTGTCATCACTGCTTTGCTTGTATGGATGACTAGTGTGGCTAGCTTTGCACTCTCATCTTCAGGCAAGCTTTATTGTTAGATCATAAACAAAATATAATTTCGCTTTGCTCCCTTCTAGTATGTCTCTTTATGCTTCTTGGGTACCAGGATTTAAACAAATTTACTCTACCACACACTTCTGCCATGGTGTTTCATGCCATTATTATCTAGAAACAACTGATCCAGTGTCCCATGGACTGAAATCTCGGAAATCATGAGCCAAAATAAATCTTTCTTCATTTTGAGTCGTTTATGTCAGGCGTGTTATTAGAACAATGAAAAGTCTAACAACCTTCTTTGGACAGCTTTGACTTTATGTATTTGTGAGAAAATCTCCATCAACTTTGAGAATCAGGTGACCATACTGATCATATTTTACAGACTAGGAACCTTAGGCAAAGAAAAGTTAAGTAACTGACCCGTCTTAGTCACCTTCTATTGCTGTGAAGAGACACCATGACCATAGCAACTTCTTTTAAAATTTCTACTTGGGGCTTGCATATAGTTTCAAAGGTTTAGTCTATCATCAGCATGGTGGGACACATGGCAGCAAACAGACAGACACTGTGTTGGTGACACAGCTGAGAGTTCTACATCCTGACCCACAGGCAGCAGGCAGAGAGAGGCACTGGGATTGATTGGGTTTTGAACCCTCAAAGCCCACCCCCAGTGACACAATTTCTCCAATTTCACACCTTGTACTCCTTCTAATCCTTTCAAAGTGTTCCACTTCCTAGTGTCTACACATTCAAATGTATGACCCTGTGGGGGCCATTCTTATTCAAGCCACCATATGGCCCAAAGCTACTGAGCAAAGAAAGAAGTAGGGCTGGTATTTGAACATGTGAAATCTGTCTCAAGATCCTTATACAATGGAACTATTATACATAAAGTTTGGTTATTTTTAGCCTTGATGGCCCCTTTGAGGGCCCACTGAACAAATATGTTGCTTAACATTAGCCAGTTTTTGAAGCTTATAACAATGCTGCACATCCCTTTCCCCCAACGTAGATCTAGGTACAAACTGTACTTTCCATATGGGGAAAGTCTTCAATATTCAAGGGAACAGAATCAAATCACTATGGAATGCCATTAACCCTAGAAGTTTGTGCACAGTCTAGTGTAGTCTCGAAGTGAGCAGCATCAGTTTGAGCTATGAGCTATTAAGGAAGTTAAAATATTCCCCAAGACATCTTTTTATTGATCAGAAGAAAGTCTTGGGCCCAGGACTCTGCAGGTGGAAGACATTCTGATGGTTATGACAAGTGCTGCTTCTTCTTTATCAGCACTTATTTTCCTGGCATTTCCAGGACATAAAGTTATGGATTAAAGTTATGGATTATTTACAAACCCTGTATCCTTGCCTTCTAATACCACTCTTCACCTATGGAAGGTTATTCTGGTTGAGATATTAGAGGAGAGTATGTACAGTGAAAATCCCCAGATTCCATTTTAGTAAGTGGATATTGATGGTTTATAACCTAGAGTGTTTTTTTCTGATAAAAATTCAAAGTAATGTTGAGCAAAGTGGGGATAAAACCATAGTGGAGCCTGAATTGAGAAAAGAAAATATGGGGCTTGAGAGATGTCTCAGTGGTTAAGACCTGGGTTCAATACCGAGCACCCACATGGCAGTTCACAACTGTCTGTAATTCCAATTCCAGGGTATCCAACACCTTCACTCAGACATACAGGCAGAACACTAACAAAATAAATATAAATATTTTATGATAATTTTTAATTTAAATTTGAAACAAGCTTGTTTTACATGTCAACCCCAGTTCCTGCACCCTCCCCTCCTCTACTGTCCCCCCACCAACCCCCATCCCATTCCCTTTCTGCTCCCCAGGTAGAGTGAGGCTTTCCATAGGGGATCTTCAAACTTTGTCACATCATTTGGAGCAAGGCCTAGGTCCTCCCCCATGTGTCTAGGCTGAGAGAGTATCCCTCTATGGGGAATAGGCTCCCAAAGTCCATTTGTGCACTAGGGATATTGATCCACTACTAGAGGCCCCATAAACTGCCCAGTCCTTGTAACTAACACCCACTATCAGGGGCTCTGGTTTCCATGAGAGTCCATGAGATCCCCCTTGTTCAGGTCAGCAGTTTCTGTGGGTTTCTCCAGCCTGGTCTTGACACCTCTGCTCATCAATCCCTTTCTGCAACTGGATTCCAGGAGTTTAGCTCAGTGTTTAGCTGTGGGTGTCTGCTTCTGCTTCCATCAGCGAAAAATAAAATGTAAAAACAGAAAGAAAATCTATAGACCCAGCTGACAGAAGCAGGACTTTCACAGTACACCAAAAAGCCAGTGTGATACAGTGAAGGGAGAGTTTGACCGAATGATACTTATTTACAAAGCAGCCAGGAGCAAAGCTGTGACCTTCTGTTTCTATATGCATGGCTCTACTAGCCCTCAAGAGTTAGAATGAAACAGAGACGTTTTCTCCTTTAAGAAAAAAAAATGTGTACTATGCTCGATGGAGGGTTCAGGATGTAGTGCTTACTATGTAAGGCTGGTGACCCGATTCATTGTATGAATAAACTATATATTCTGCAATGAATTCACCAACTAATTTGTGCATCTCACTTTTCCCTGTAGCTCCAATGGTGCTATTGTCATTTCAGAATCGTGAGAAGAGAATAAGAAAGGCCGATTATCCCTAATGGCTCAGACTGGCTACAACTTTCTTACAGTTCCTATTCATGTTCAATCATGGTTGCTTACAAATAAAGGTGCATGTAAACTTGCATGGTGGGTTTCAGGGCACGTCCATAAACCCCATCCCACACTGGAATTTACAGGGATATGTGACCACTATCTTGCGTATTCTTCTTCCTCTCAATAAAACTTAAAATAAACCAAACAATTGATTTACTGTTGTGGGAATAAGTCATTGCTCTTTCCTTTCCTGACCTCACCCAGACTTCCCATATCCTGATCACAGAAAGTCAA